TGTATTATGATGGCTGCACTGGACCTTCCCAAGATTTCTGGTAACACTTCTTTCTGGCCTTTTAATTCTTTAATCATTGTGCACCCTCAAAAGTGTCAAGAGCAGCCTTTGTCTGTGGGTGTAAACAGATATCTAAGAGACACTTTGTGTATGGGTGTAAACTTGGGTTTCTAGAAGGCAGTTGATGCTTTCCAGTTTACCTAAGCAGCAGTTTAGTCTTAGGTCTTAGGGCTCAAGACCTTCTCAGTCAGAGATTTTGCCCAGGTTTATTGTGTTAGTACAATACTAACCATGGCTATCTTCTTATGAAGCAGGCCTTACATTTGGTCAGAGAATGTTTGTGACATCCGTAGCAGCTGTGCCACTGTTGCACTACTGGGCACATCCAGCCTAACTAGTTGGTATTGTAGTTCCCAGCACTTGGGAAGCACAGGCAGGCGGCTCGCTGTGAGTTTGAGGCCAGCCTGGTCTACAGAGCAAATTCTAAGACAGCCAGGGCTACATAGAGAAGTCCTGTTTTGAAACGCAAAAACAATTAAAAGATTGTTGATATCTTTCCTCTCCCAGTAGCCAGTCAACTTTGATTATTGCTTTGTTTATAGCAATGATCATCTTCCTGAGTCAATTTCCTTTTTTTCTTTTTTGAGACAGTCTCAGAGTCTGAGGGTTTCACTATGTAGCCCTGATTGGCCTTGAACTCAAGTAAGTAGATACATCTACCTGCCTTTGCCCCATGAATGTTGAGATTATAGGTATGGACCCAGCACACCTAGCTCAACTTTTTTTTTTCTGATCAAATAAAAAGCATTTGTTAGTTTTGTAGGTTAGTTTAGATTGAACAACCATGTTGGGTTTTTTTTTCATTTTTTTAAATTGATATTTATTGAGTTCTACATTTTACTCTGCTTCCTTCCCTGCCTTTCCTCTCCCCCTCAACTCTCCTCCAAGGTCCCCATACTTCCAATTTACTCAGGAGATCATCTCTCTTTTTTTTTTTTTGGTTTTTCGAGACTGGATTTCTCTGTAGCTTTGGTGCTCTTGTAGACCAGGCTGGCCTGGAACTCCCGGAGATCCGCCTGCCTCTGCCTCCCGAATGCTGGGATTAAAGGTGTGTGCCACCACCGCCCGGCTTCTCTTTTTATTCTTTGTACTTCCCCTGTAGATTATCTATGTAAGTCTCTCTTAGTGTCCGCATTGTTGTCTAAGTTCTCTGGGATTGTGGTTTGTAGGCTGGTTTCTTTGCTTTATGTTTAAAAACCACCTATGAGTGAGTACATGTGATAATTGTCTTTCTGTGTCTGGGTTACCTCAGTCAAAATAATGTTTTCTAGCTCTGTTTCTCTGCAAAATTCAAGATGTCATTATTTTTTTCTACTGTGTAGTACTTCATTGTGTAAATGTACCACATTTTCCTTATCCTTTCTTCAGTCGAGGGGCATTTAGGTTTCCAGGTTTTGGCTATGACAAACAAACCTAGCGCAAATCTTATTCTTGAAATTGAGATTAAAATTTTAAATTATGGTATGTATGTTCCTTGCCTTTAATTTTTATTTTATTTTATGGTACTAGAGATTGAAGTCAAGGCTTCACATATTTTAGGCAAGTGATCTACAATTAATCTTTATTATCCTGCCATTCATTAACTTCTACACTTGATCTTAACAAGAGAATAATAAGTGATAATTAAAATCTTTAAGATTTATTTTACTTGCATTTGCTTGTATGTATGTCTGTATATCATGGGCATGCCTGGAGCTTTCAGATGCCAGAAGAAGGCCTTTAATCCCCTGGAACTATGTAACCGCCCAGTGGGTCAGTTAGTCTAGGGTTGTAACCCGCCTGGCAGGTCAGTTATTCCAGGGTCCTGAAGAGGCGCTATCTGTATCTGAAAAGACATGGGCGGGAAAGAGGAACGAGGCCAAGCAAGATCTGTTGTCAAAGTCTCCGTTTATTATCGTAATGGTTGTGGCCTATATAGCCCCTGGATGAGGAATTTGGGTTGGGATGGGGGGCAGGGGCATGGCAAGGGCAGGAAGGGATCTTGCAGCAATGGTCATGAGTCGACACCTGGTCACGAGTCGGTCATGAGGTCACAAGTCGTAGGTCAGGAGGTCGCGAGTTGACACACTTAGTCTCTAAGCAAGTGGAATCTGTTCCTTTTGTGATTACAACCACAAACAGTTCTCTAGATAGTTGGAATGTGGGGCAGGTTCCGCTAACAGATAGCTCTCAAGATAGTTGGGTGTGGGGTGGGCTCTGCCAACAAACAATTGTCAATACAGTTGGGGTGTGTGGCTCTCCGCAAACATCCCCAGGACAATGGTCCCCGCTATAATCTTTGGGAAAATGGCTCCTGACAGAACTATAGTTAGAGATGGTTGTGAACTTCTATTTGGGCTCTGGGTACTGAACCTGAATCCTCTACAAGAGCAACACTTTTTTTTTTATTTTATTTTTGGAGACAGGGTTTCTCTGTGTAACAGTCCTGTCTGTCCACAACTTGCTTAGGCTGGCCTGAACTCACAGAGATCCACCTGCCTCTGCCTCCCACATGCTGGGATTAAAGGTGTGCACCACCACCGCCTGGCGCAACAAGCACTCTGAGTCATGCATCTCTCCAGTTACACATTTTCTGAAGTCTCCTTTCTCCTCCCACAGGATTTTAAAGCTTTATTTTATGGGTATGGTTGTTTTGTCTATATTTCTATATATGTGCCGTGTGTGCATGGTACCTGGGGTTTAAAAGAGAGCATTGATCCCCTTGAACTAGGCTTCCCAACAGTTGTTAGCCACCATGTGGCTACTGGGAACAAATCTAGGTCCTCTGCGAGAGCAGTCAGTGATCTTATTCTCTGAGGTGCTCTCCAGCCCCAATTTGTAATTTTTAAACATTTATTATTATTGTGCATGTGTCCATGCTGTATATGTGAGTAGTTTTGCAATGGCATGTTTTTGAAGATCGTCTTTGAGCATCATTTTTCTTCTGCCTTTACACCAGTTTTGGAGACTCAGACTCAGGCCACCAGGCTTCTATGGCAAACACCTTTACCTGTGGAGCCCTGTTGTTAGTCTGAAGTGACTATTTTCTTAAATTTTATTTTCAGGTTGGGGAGACTATCTAAACCTACTAACATGAGCATGGATTTTTTTTTTTTTTTCGAGACAGGGTTTCTCTGTAGCTTTTTGGTTCCTGTCCTGGAACTCCCTTTGTAGACCAGGCTGGCCTCGAACTCACAGAGATCCGCCTGCCTCTGCCTCCCAAGTGCTGGGATTAAAGGCGTGCGCCACCACCGCCTGGCCGAGCATGGAAATTGTAGAGTGTATAAAACTGCTCTGGGTGGTGGGGACAGTGACAACGGCCCCATCAGTCAGGTCTGCCATGCTACTGCATGCTTGTATTCTGTCACTTCCAACACTGCAAGAAACATGGATTCATTTGGGTGACATAGTTTACAGAAGCAGAATAGTAGATCTAGACTCCATTTGTGGTTTATTGTCATACAGGCTCTCCAGCACCAACTCTTGTGAGCTCATTCTCCGACAGTGGCAGCACAGAGCTGTTCTGTTGGCTCATCTGGGAGCCGATCATACCCTGCTTGGCTTTGGTGCCTGGTAATAATGTGTCTTAATTGCAGGTCACTGGAGCCAAACTAATTGCTTGTTGGGCACTTAGATTGCCTTTTTAATTTGCTGCATAATGCCTCTTCTAACAGAAGCACACAATATATTGTTATCCAAGTAGAACTCATTAGTATCTTCCTAGACACAACAGAAAGCCTGATTTTGTTCATAATTTAGCTACTGAAAGAAGATGGAAAGACACTGTAGACAGATGTAATTAACAGGTACTGTTTTTTAAGTGCTCCTTTGTATCCGCTTCAGGAACTATACATAAAATTCTTGCTGTGCTTTATATTTGTGTAATAGCCGTGTGTGGGGTCTGTGTACTCGTGTGTATGAGGGTGGACTGTGTGGCCAGGTGGGTGAGTACACTGTGTACATGTGGGTGCCCTCCTTTGTCACTCTCCACTGGGTCTCCTTGAGACAGGCTCTCCTGTTGGAACCAGCAAGCCCCAATGCCCCCTACCCTCATGGTGCTGGTGTGACGGGTGTGTGCAGCCACAGTTGGCTGTATCCATGGATGCTGGGGATCTGAACGTAGGCTTTCAGGGCAGACATTCTTACCCACTGAGCCATGTTCCTAGCCCTATGGTAACCTTTCTTTATCAAGGATTGTTTTGTTTTGTGCTTCAGATATGTTTTATATGGCAATAATAATATGAGCATTTGAGACAGTCACTTATTTCAGTCTGTGGGATTTACCCTACATCCAGTGACTTTGTATTTCATTAAAAAAAAATAAATCAGTATCATCGTTCCCAAATATGAACCTTTTCATATGCCAAGTAAAGAGCTCATACTTGTTTTCTTGTCATTTCCTTGGACTGTAGTAGAACAGTGCTCTGCACAAGGTTTTCAGCTTTTCGTTAACAATTTCATTAATCTAATGGGTACATTTTGAGAAACTACGGAATGCCTGGACCTATTATAGGTGTTGGAGATACTTTATGATAAATATTTAGCTCAAGAGGAAAAAAAATGAAGTAAATTTTAAGAATCCTAATTTCTTTTTAAGAATAGAGTAAGTATATTATTTGTAACTTTTTTATTGATTTAACAAAAACCTAGGCATCTTATAGAAGAAAGCATTTAGTTGGGCTAATGGTTTTAGAGGGCTTGAGTTTATGATGGCAGAACAAAGGAAGCCTGGTAGCAGGAATGTGCACATAGGGAGTCGAGAGAGTACACTGGTGATGACTGCAGCTCTTAATCCTCCAACATTTCCCCCGGCTGAGGACTGCATACTCAAACCGGAGCCATGGCGGCCAGCCTTAGCCGAACCACCGTAGTAACAAGTAGCATCTGCTGCAATTTTAATAGATGCTTTTTTTCTTAAAGAAATTAGTTTGTTACCTGTTTGTTTGTTTTTCTTTTGGTAGGCTATTTCTCATGAGGGTCATGGACATTCCCTATTTAAACTTGGAAGGGCCAGACTGTAAGTACATCAATTTCCTCATCGCATCTGTAGTTACCAGAGAGTGGCCTGAAAGGGACACCAGGGAAATAGTGCTGACAAAAGAGCTTTTTCCTTAAGAATGGGCAGTGGTTTGTGGTTGGCAAGGGTTGCATACTTAAAAGTTCATGAGACCCTTGGGCCTTTGTTAGTTGTGACTTGCATTTTTCAGGCTATAGAAGTATATCTCATGTATTCATAGTTTCATCCCACCCCCAAACTGAATTATTTCCAGTACATATTTAAAAAATATGCTGAACAAGCTGGAGAAGTCACCATTAGACCATGCTGTGGGGCCTTCCTGTGACCAGCAAACATACAGCTTGAGGTAGACTAGGGGTAGCAGTGTTGCACCTTCCCTCCACGCTGGCTGTTTCTTGATACTCTACTGCCTGGTTCAGTTTAATACCCAGTGACATCAGGACCCAACGCAGCCCCTACCCACCCCAGGGCAGGACACGCTTATCTACACAAGCAAACCAATATGATGGCTCCTGGCTGTGGCTGGCAGCTCTGCAGGACTTGGGGAGCAAGAAGTCGTGGAGTCAGTGGGCTCGTCTTGCAGTTTTGTACTCTGTTTGTTTGTTTTTTTCAATTCAGCTATGGCTTTTTTAAAACATGACTTGAAGCTCTAGTTTTCTAGATCTTTACAGTGTACAGTATTTTACATAATTGAGCTGTATTAAAAGCTTTATAAATATAAAGTAAAAAAATCCTATCTATGTCAGTAATTCGATTTTCTATTTTCTAGTTACTTATGCATATATTTAAATTTAGTAAGTTGATTTTTTTTAAATTGCTGTCAATCAAATTGTTATGGGTTACCTGATACATTAGAATACCCTGCTGATGCCCTGGGTGGCCGTGCACACCTGGAGTCCCAGCACTCGGGCACAGAAGCAGGACTGCAGTGTCTTTATGGCAGTCGTGTCTACATAGTATGGACTAGTTTAATTAAAGAATCTGCTTGCCAAGTGTGGTAATGCACACTTATAACCCCAACATTCTGTGGGCTGAGGCAATCAAAAGAATCACTGACTTGTCTTGATCCCTTGCCGGGAGCCAGCCTTGGTTGTTGTTCCTCAGGAGCTCTCTACCTTGTTTTTCGAGATCCAGTGTCTACCTGAAGCTCACTGCTTAGGCTAGACTATTGACCAGAGGGTCCCAGGGATGGATCCTTTTGTTTACCCCTCCCCGGTACTGGCATCTGGAGTACACTCCTCCTTGTCCACCTTCTTATAGGGTCTGGCCTCAGCTGTGTGGCCAGCGTCTCCCTAAGTGGGCTGTCTCCCTGGTCTCATAGCTGTGTGGCCAGCGTCTCCCTAAGTGGGCTGTCTCCCTGGTCTCATAGCTGTGTGGCAGCGTCTCCCAAAGTGGGCTGTCTCCCTGGCCAGTACTTGGGTCACTTCTCCATTGTCGCCCTTTTGTCACTTTTGTCTCGTAGTGCAGCCTAAACGCGACCATGTTCTCCACGTGACGTTCCCCAAAGAGTGGAAGACAAGCGACCTTTACCAGCTCTTCAGCGCCTTTGGTGAGCAGGAAAGTTGTGGCGGCTGCTTTAAGGGTTGCCCTTCTCCTGGTGGTTAGTTGGTCAGAAGGAGATCATGGAAAAGATTTCTAAGTCCATGACAGGGTTGATTTCAGCCACAGAACTGTTCTGTTGTAATGGGATCTGAGGTGCATTGTGTAAGCCTTGCTGACAGAGTATATGGGCCATCACCGTGGACTGCCCTTACTGCTGAGAAGAAAGCAAGCCTAGATCAGGGTAAATAATTTTTAAGGCTAAATTCAGAGAGGATGTCTATTTTATACTGGCAAGCAATCTCTATGTGAGATGAGCAGACCAAGCCTGCAGGTGTGTGTAAGGTAGACAGTTCCTCTCGTTCCCGGGTTAAACTCCTCAGGGTCTGTGAATGTACAAGTTTGTTACTTTAACAAATGAAGTATTGAAGCTATTTATTCTCTTTGGGGATTCTTGAATAAAGTGAAGGCAGAAAACTGGCCAGTAGTAGGATGCTTAGTAATACTTGTATATTATCAAAAGATTTACTATGCAGACATTTAAGAAAATATTCATAGGCTAATGAGATGCTCAGTGTTTGTTGTGCAAACTTAGTCATCTGAGTTCAATACCTGGAACCCACATATAAGTGGAGGAGAGACTGTGAGTTTGAGGACAGCCTGGTCTACAAGAGCTAGTTCCAGGACAGACTCCAAAGCATAAAGAGAAAGGAAGGAAGAAAAGAGAAAGGGAGAGGAGTGGAGGAGAGACCCAGTTCCACTAAGTTGTCTCTGGCATTCAAATGCACGCTATGACTCCTGTAAGACATAAATAGTAATTGTCTTAGTCAGGGTTTCTCTTGCTGCAGTGGAACACCGTGACCAAAAAGCAAGTTAGTGAGGAAAGGATTTATTTAGCTTACACTTCCACACTGAAGGAAGTCAGGACAGGAACTCAAATGAAGCAGAAACCTGGAGGCAGGAGCCGATGCAGAAGCCATGGGGGGGAGTTGCTTACTGATTTGCTCCCAATGCTTGTTCGGTCTGCTTTCTTATAGTCCCCAGGACCAGCAGCCCAGGGATGGTCTCACACACACAGTGATCTGATTATACCCTCATCAGTCCCTAATTAAGAAGATGCCCTACAGGATGCATACAGCCAATCTTGTGGAGGCATTTTTCTTAATTGAGGTCCCTTCTCAGATGACTTAAGCTTATGTTGATATAAAACCACCGAGCACAGTAATGAATAAAATAGTATGTTTGAAGTGTATATGCAGAGGTATAAACATTTAAGAAAGTATTTAAATAGTATTTTAATACTTAGATTTAAAAGAGGATATGGGATAGGATCTTGTATAACTAACAGTATTTTTAAAAACATTGTAGAGAAGTCAGATGCAAGTAAAGGAAGATACATTTACCACTGAGTATTTTATTATTATTCATTAAGAAAAACCTATATATTTCTTTCTTTCTTTTTTTTTTTTTGGCCTGCATTTTGGTATTAGCACCATGTGTATGCAGTGTTTGGCGGTCAGAAGAAGGCATCAGATCCCCAATACTGCAGTTATAGTCAGTTGTGAACCTCCATGTGGGTGCTGGCAATTGAGTCCAGGTCCTTTGAAAGAGCAGTCAAGTGCTCTTAACGGCTGAGCTGTTTCTCCAACCACATCACTAAGTATTTTTCAGATGGTCTTTATGTTTTGTAAGCTTTCCTGTCTTTTCAGAAATGAGCACACGTTACCTCTTAAGTTAAAAACAAACGCAGACTGCTTTATTTGAAAACAGTTATATTTCTATAAAGTCCTCTTGCTGGTGCCCTCTGCCCTTTGAAATCCTACCCCACTTTTTAATTTAGCTGCAGAGAGAGAAAGGCAGTGGCCTCAGGCTCAGCTCTTTTTGAAGTGCCTGCTATTTTCATCTGTTTAAGTTCTGACCCTATGAAGTCAGACTTTAAGCACTAAAGTAAGTAAAAAGTCTAAAACCTAGTGTGAAGCTCCACAGCTTTAAAATGGCTTTTCTAACTGTCTAGAAGTTCAGTGAGGTGGGCAGGTGTGGTGGGGAGAGGCAGGCCATCTCTGTGAATTCCATGTTAGCCTGGTGTACAGAGCAAGCTCCAGGACAGCCAGGACTAGATAGAGAAAACACGTCTAAAAAATAGTCATTGAGAGGTATGGACTTTGGATCTAGTTCATTTTGGTGTGTAATTTTTTTTCCAAATTGTTTACAATAAAGTTTTAATAAGTAAAACAAACATTAGCTGTGTGACCTTGGGCAAGTGTTCTCTCAGTAGAAGCAACAACAGTTGTACTAGTGATAACAGCCGTCTTTGTGGCCTTAGCAGGACACTAGGGTGGAAGGAGCTGGCTCTGGAAGGTGTTCAGAAGCTGACTAGCACTTTTATCTTATCCAGAGAGGCAGCTGCCTCCATAGGCAGAGAGGTGTGTCATCTTACTGAGAAACTGAAGTGGGGGTTTTGTATTGTTTTCTTTTCCACTTTGATAGTGAAACTAAACTTTTTTTTTTTTTAATTCCCAGCCTTTGAAAGTCTTAGTAGAATGAATTTTTCTTTTATTGCTAAATTCCAGTGCTGTTTACCCATTGTTAAAGTCTGGTGCTCAGTGATTCAGAGGTGCAAGTGTCCATCTCCTCCGCAGGCTCGGGCTCTGCCCTGGGCTCCCTTTCTGCTCATGCTGTTTGCCTCAGCGTAGTACTTTTGCTGCTGTTTCTCCCTGTCAGCCTGTTTTTTCTCTCTCTGAACCCTTCACTTTTAAATGACAGGCATGCGTGTGCGCGTGTGTACATGTGATTGCTTGCATGTGGAAGTCAGGACAGCTTGTAGGAGTCTGCTCTCTCCTCCCACCACATGGAAGCTTGACGGCAGGCTCCTTGATCCACCGAGCCATCTCAGCAGGATCTGTTTGGCTCAGAGCTCTTTCTAGTAGTTTGGAATCGCAGCCTCTTGCTGTCAGGGTCCCCAGGGCATCGTGGAATGAGAGAGGAACACAGGTCCTTGCGGTGTCTGTCAGGGGGACCTCTTTCTCTCAGCCCCCAGTACTCCCAGGAGAGGCACTGCCCTGCATGAGCTCCCTTGTCCTGTCACTCCCCAAGGCCCCACTGCTAAGTATTATGAGTCAAGTATTCTCTCCCTGTATGTTCCCAATGCCTGAATACCTGAAAATGGAGATTTAGTGTCAACATGGGGCAGGGACAGAACTATCTAAACTGTAGCAGTCTGTAAAATGAAGTATCTGTAACAAGTTTGATTGTAGTGGTCTTGGAGTTTTGTTAGTGACCTTGAAAGATAAACACCTTCTAACCTTGGCCTAAGATTGGACAGAATTGTGACAAGTCCTTGTAGCTAAGTTTTCTTTTTTTTCTTTTTTAACTTTTAAAGTTTATTATCACTGTTTTGTGTTTGTGTGTGTACCTGTGTGTGACTGTGAAGTCCAGAGCTTCATGTCTGATATCTTCCTCAATTAAATTTCTACTTTACTATCTTTCCAAAATTCAAAAAACTGTATTTGTTTATTGTGTGTGAAGACACACGTGCCATAGCGTGCTGTGAAGGCCAGATGACAGCTTATAAAAGTTGGTTCTCTTCTGTCGTGTGGGCCCCAGGGATCCAGCCGAGGCAACAGTGCATTCACTCCCTGAATCATCTCACTGGTCCTCTCCAGCTTAGTTTTTTGATGCAGGGTCTTTCGCTGAACCCAAACCTCACCAATTTTGCTATACTTGCTAGCCCAGAGTTCCAGGGATTTGCCCCTCTCCACCTCTCCAGCACAGGGATACAGGCCCACTCAGCTGTGCTCATCTTTTTATAGGGCTGGCAGGATCAAACTGAGGCCTTTATACTTTGCAAGGTGTGCGCACGCACGTGTGCACAGGCGCACAAACACACAAACACGCAGACACTTGCTCCTCACACACCACTGGGGAGACCAGTGGAGGAGGCCGAAGATTCTGCTATGACACAGGATCTCTCACTGAACCTGAAGCTGTCTTAGACTGGCTGACCAATGGGCTTCTGAGATCCTGTCTCCAGCCCCCAATGCTGGAGTTACAGGTGTGGGTTGTTTTTTTTTAATATGGGTGGTGGGGGTTTGAACTTAGGACTTCATGGTAGCACAGCAAGTGCGCTTATGCACTAAGACATCTCCTACACTCTCTTGAAACTGTAACAGAACAAGTAGCGAATTGATTAGTGCTAAGGTTTCCAGTCTTACAGCAGTAGTCATCTCTCTAGACAATCCTGAAGTCTGCCAGCTGAGTCTTGGTGTGGTTCTCTAAATGCTCAGACGTTCACTTTGCTTTTCGTTCATTGTTAACAGGTAACATTCAGATATCCTGGATTGATGACACCTCAGCCTTCGTTTCTCTCAGCCAGCCCGAACAAGTACAAATTGGTTAGTGTTCTAGATGTCTGTTCTGTGTGTTAATGAGGTGGGGGTTCTTCTTCAGTTTGAAAGCTGTGACTTCAGCCAGTTGGTTCAGTGGCATTGCTGCTCAGTTAATTTTTGAGCTTGCCTGTGAAATAAAGGGAAAAATTAGTAAGTATATCATACAGAGAAAGATCTTTGATTCATTATTCTAAAATTACTTAAACCATGCCTCAAGACCCCATGTAGTTACATGTGACTGAATGTCAGGTTTGAAAATTTGGCCATGGAGAAAGGTTTCTGAGCATGCAGTGACCAAACAATTTAAAATCAAATGCTAGTAAACTGGAGTCAGTGCTTGTCCGTGTTGTCCATGGTCTCACTCCAGCCTTCATTCTGAGTACACAGCATGTGTGTTTGATGCTGCTTGTGCCCTCCTGTGATGCAGTACCCTCGTCAACTGCTGAAACACCTCGGGTTCCCCATTAGCATATGTTCTGATTGCAGTGTTTTAGTTTTCTGTTCAGACACACAGTGGTTCAATTATGGGAACTGAAGAGGTCACATTTTTCCTACTGTTATTTCTCAGTATCCATCAAATTAATCATTGCAACTCTGGGTTGTATTGTATTCGACAAGCACATTTGTCCCATTCGTATATAAATTGCTTTTGTCTTAACAAATAACAACATTATATGTGTACCAAAATGGGTTTTGTTGTTGTATGTTTTGTTTTATTTTGGTTTTTTGGGTTTTTTTTTTGTTTTTTGTTTTTTTTGTTTTTTTTTTTTTTTTGCTTTTTCGAGACAGGGTTTCTCTATGGCTTTGGAGCCTGTCCTGGAACTAGCTCTTGTAGACCAGGCTGGTCTCGAACTCACAGAGATCCACCTGCCTCTGCCTCCCGAGTGCTGGGATTAAAGGTGTGCGCCACCACCGCCCGGCTTTATTTTGTTTTTTGTTTTTTTTTTTAAAACAGACAAAGAGTCTCACTATGTAGACCAGGCTCACAGATATCTATCTGCTGCTGTGGGATAACCCTTCAGTATGCTGTGTTGCTTTCATTGAATGATAATAAAAGCTGAGTTGGGCCGGGCGGTGGTATGCTCTGAGGGTGAGAATTTCCCCATGCGGACCCCAGGAGCCATTGTGTTCACAGTGGCTGGCTGAATCTGGTCAATATCATGGAGTTGGAGCCACGATATACATCCTGTCGTGAACTGGAGATACCTTTTGTACTTGATAGATCTCATGTCTGTTTCTCTTTCTGATTTCTAAATCTGTGTGAATGCTTCTTTAAAAGACAATTTGCAGTTTGCTTCTCATAGTAATGATTCTCATGAAGCCAGGGATCTGGGTTATCGAAATTTGCTACAAATCCTATTAATGCTACCTTAAACAAATTATAGAAACATTTCAGCAGAAACAGATCAATAATGTAACAATGAAAAAAATCATTAAATGCCTACTTATATAGGCTCTGATACAAATTATTTTTGATTTACATTCAAAGAGTTCCATTTAAGCTGACAACTGTCTTTTTACTCTGGTATCACTAATTCTAATCAATGTTTGAAAAGTCTTTTTTGACCTCTTGAAAATGAAAGTTCTTTTCTTACAGGAAACTGTATACTAATTACTAAAATGGTGTATGTGCGTGTGCTTGCGCATGCATGCACTATGCCCATGGTGTGGAGATCCATGTTGGTGCCTTCCTAGTCTGCTCCATTCTTCATGTTTTGATGGGGTCTTTTTCACTGACTTCACTAGGCTGGCAATCCAATGAGCTCTAGGGATCCTCTTGCCTCTAGCTCCTGAGTGCTAGGATTACAGGCCTGCACACCACATCTTATTTTATAGGTGCTGGGCACTGGACCCTGAGCTTCCCCAACAGAGCCATGCCCCAGTGAGTTTTTCACAACTTTGACTGTTTCTGCACTTGGCCATGGCTTATTTTAATGTGCGTGTACCATGGGTGGAGCCCCAGTGCTTCTGACATGCACGATTGAGGTATACTTCTAGTTCCTTCTCTGTATTATCCTGTCTGAACTGGCAGCTTTTAATATATGTCTTTCACCAGACTTGGTAAAATTTCAGATATTTGTTTTCATAGTCTCTTGCTGTTACTCCTGGGATTGCTTCTGCACACAATACATCATGTGCTCTGTTTTTTCTCATCCCATCTTTCTGTTGTGCAGACTAGATAATTTATTTCCGTGTCTCTGCTCTTTGACTCATTACTCCTTGACCATTATTCTTCTAATAAGCCAGCCTAATGGATCTTTTATCTTGTACATTGGTACCACTCATCCTGCTGTAGGGTGACTTCCTGATAAGCCCCTTGTGAGTAAAAATGCTATTAAGCAGAACATGTATGTCGTATGCCTGTTTAATGTCACCTTAAGTTTACCTAGAATATGGTTGGGTAGAATCATGCAGACTCTATTTCTTGATAAAATATAGTTCTTAAATACTGTTTTGAAAATGGAAAACACATGTGTTGTGAATGTTCTCTTGTAGAGTCTCTGGGTTTGGATAGATTCCTCAGAAGAGTGTTTTGTTTTAGTTTCACAGATATTCATCTTATTTGGACTTGTGGGTGATGCTTAGGTTGGAGCTCAGACTTCCAGTTTGCTGCACTAGTGGTTAAGAGTTAGCCAGAGAGCAGAGGACTCCTTGGGTAAAAGCTGTCTTGATGAGCTGGGCTCAGATGTGGTTTGTCCTTAGACCTCCCCCGTGCACACTCTTATAAACATATGTGCACACATACACGAAGGTATAAACAGATGTATGTTAAACACAAGCCAATCAGACATCGGCCGGATCTGTTCCCCACTGTCTTTATCTGGCTTCCGCTCCGCAGTGCTCCTGTCTCACTCTGGTTGCTCTTGACCCCATGCTTTTCCTTTCCTTCCTCATAGCAGAAAGATATGAGATTTATAAAAAATATTTTTGGTTATCTGGGCATGGTGTCCCAGGCCTTTAATTCCAGCATACAGGGAGCAGAGGCAGGCAGATCTCTGAGTTTGAAGCCAGCCAGTAATACATAGTAAGATACTGTCTCAAAAAAAAAAAAAAAAAAAACCAAAAAAAAAAAAAAACCCTTGCAGGACCCAAGCACCAGCCACTTTAATGACATGGCAAAGTCTCTCTAGTGCTTGTTCAGGCACAGGTGTGCACATGTGCTCAGGAGTGTGTGCGCACATACAACCCCCCCCCCTTTCTCTCTCTCTCTGACCCAGTGTTCATCCACCGACTGTTTTACATCTTCACTCTTCCTATTCAGAGCACTTCCTCCTACTCTTCAGGCTTTGCGTTTTCTCCAGCTTGTAGTCCTTGCAGTGGCCGATCATTCTTTTAGATTTCTGCTTGACCAGAGCCTGCATGCCCTTTCCTGCTTTCAATCACTCTGCTTCTAGCACCTGCCTTTAATTCTGTCTTAGCTACATCATTTGTTGTGTGTAATTACCTCTTGTTTAATAGTACTTTGCAAATATGTTAAAATATTAAAAAAACTCTATCTCAAGTGTACCAAAGGACGTGCTCAACTATGTTCATAGCAGCTTTGTTTATCATAGCCAGAACCTGGAAACAACCTAAATGCCCCTCGACTGAAGAATGGATAAGGAAAATGTGGTACATTTACACAATGGAGCACTACACAGTAGAAAAAAATAACAATATCTTGAATTTTGCATGAAAATGGTTGAAACTAGAAAACATTATTTTGAGTGAGGTAACCCAGACATAGAAGGACAATTATCACATGTACTCACTCATAGGTGATTTTTAAACATAAAGCAAAGAAAGCCAGCCTACAAACCACAATCCCAGAGAACTTAGACAACAATGAGGACACTAAGAGAGACTTACATAGATCTAATCTACATGGGAAGTAGAAAGTAGAAAAAGACAAGATCTTGTTTCCAGGTTCTGGCTATGACAAACAAAACCACTATGAACATAGTTGAGCACATGTCTTTGTGGCATGATTGAGCATCCTTTGGATATATACCCAAAAGTGGTTTTACTGGGTCTTGAGGAAGGTTATTTCCTAATTTTCTGAGAAATCACCACACTGAAATCCAAAGGGGTTGTACCAGTTTGCATTCTCACCCGCAATGCAGAAGTATTCCCTTTTCCCCACAACCTCTCCAGCATAAGTTGTCATCAGTGTTTTTGATCTTGGCCATTCTTACAGTTGTAAGATGGAATCTCAGAGTTGTTTTGACTTGTATTTTTCTGATGGCTAAGGATGTTGAGCATTTCCTTAAGTGTCTATCAGCCATTTTAGATTGCTCTGTTGAGAGTTCTCTGTTTAGGTCTGTACTCCATTTTTTTTTATTGGATTCTGTGATCTTTTGGTGTCCAATTTCTTGAGTTCTTTGTATATTTTGGAGATCAGACCTCTGTCTGATGTGGGGTTAGTGAAGATCTTTTCTCATTCTGTAGGCTGTCATTTTGTCTTGTTGACCATGTCCTTTGCTTTATAGAAGCTTTTCAGTTTCAGGGGGTCTCATTTATTAATTGTTTCTCTCAGTGTCTGTGCTGCTGGGGTTATATTTAGGAAGTGGTTCCCTGCGCCAGTGCATTCAAGTGTACTTCCCACTTTCTCTTCTATCAGGTTTAGTGTGGCTGGCTTTATGTTGAGGTCTTTGATCCATTTGGACTTGAGTTTTGTGCACGGTGATAGATATAGGTTTATTTTCATTCTTCTACATGTTGATATCCAGTTATGCCAGCACCACTTGTTAAATATGCTTTCTTTTTTTATTTGATATTTTTTGCTTCTTTTTCAAATATCAGGTGTTCGAAGATGTGTAGATTGATATCTGGGTCTTCTGTTCGATTCCATTGGTCTTCCTGTCTGTTCTTATGCCAATACCAGGCTGTTTTCAGTACTGTAGCTCTGTAGTAGAGTTTGAAGTCAGGGATTGTGATGCCTCTAGAAGTTCTTTTTTTGTACAGGATTGTTTTGGCTATCTTGGGTTTTTTGCTGTTTCAAATGAATTTGAGTACTGTTCTTTCGA